GCAGCCACCGTGTGCCACCGACATCTGGAGGAATGCTGCGGCTTTCCCGAGGTTACAGGGGAGCGGGGGCTGCAGTGAGCAGGACCCCCAGGTAATGACATGTCCAGCAAGACATGGAGGGAGGACAGAGAAGACCGGTGGCTGTCAGCGAGGACATCCCACGTCCTCTTGCATGTCCCCACAGCACTGGGGATGTTTGCACAGGCAAATGCCGTGCCTTTCCCGTGGTATCTCCCCTCCTCGCTGGCCCTCACCTCCCACGCTCGCCCGCCGGCGCCCCTGTCTCGCCCGTGCTGCTGGCATTGGTCAGGGTCACCCCCTCGCCCTTCTTCTGCTTCTCCTTCCGCGTTATTGTGTGTGTCAGGTCTGGATTCCACTCCTGAAAGCACAGAGCACCCGGCCCCTGAGCACCCGCCGGCCCCATGGGGCTGTCTGCACCCCAACCGGGGTGCCCAGTCTCACCTCAAACTGAGGCCAGTTCATGGGCATCCCGGGGCCACTGGTGCTGCGGAACCACCGGAGATCCTCCTGCGCGTCCGAGAGGCGAATGGTCTGCTCCAGCTCCCGGTAGACGTTGGCGTAGCTGCAGGGAGAGATGTGGGTCGGGGTGCTGCGGGTTGGAGTGGACCCTGTCGGGGTGTCCTGGGGACATGCCCAGCTTGTGTCACCTCCTGCGAGGCACAGGGGGGTGCCAGGCTCCCGCCCAGCCCTCCTGCCACTCTGGTACCTCTTAGTGACCATCATGTTGGCCAGAAACCCCTCTCCCTTGTAGGGGGATGAGGGTTGGTCTGGAAGCACCTGGTCCCTCCAGGGCTTGGTTTGCTTTCCAGGCAGGACAAGGAGACCTTGCATGGGCATTTTCTGCCCAGCCAGCACGGGAGGCACCTACCTGCTGCTCTCGACCAGATTCAGGTGCCTCTTGATGTCCAGGAGGACTTCCTTGAGGAAGTTGAGCCTCTTCTCCTCAAACTGCTGGCACTGCTCGAAGACCTGCTCCATGCTCTCGATGTACTGCGGGGTGCACTTGTTCAGCTCATCCAGCACCTTCTCGTACTTCTCCTGAGTCTGCAAAGGTGCGGGAGGGGTAAATCTCTGCCCTGCTCACGCTCCCCTGAGCACTGCCTGCAAGTCCTCACCCTTCTACAGGAGCATAGGGATGGGAAAACAGGAATGAAAGGGGCGGGGTGGCTGTTTCCACTGGTTTTCCCTGCCCGATGCCTTGTGAGCCCGGTGCAGGGCAGCGCTCGCACCTTTTGCACGTCTTGCTTGCACTTTTCCACTTTGTCCTGGAGCTTCTTCTGCTGCTCGGGGGTGTTGGACTGCTCCGCCTTGCTGTTGGCTTCTCGGGTCATTGCCAGCTTCTCCTCCTTGCAGGCCAGGTGGTAGGCTTTCTTGGCTGTCTCCAGCTGTGCAGAGGAGACAGAAGGGACATCAGAGTAGCAGTCACAGACCCTGCCCATCCTTCTGCCTGAAGGGATGTGCCACCCTGCTCTCGCGGCCTGGACTGGGCACCCAGAGCCAGAAGATGGCATGGGCGCTCCAGGTCACATTGCACTTCTCCTCTCACCTCCTTGAGCTTCTTGGCCCAGGGCTTCTGGGCTTTCCGGAAGCCATCCTCAGCCTCCTTGGCCTCCTTGAAGCCACCCATGATCTGCTTGTGGTAGGCGTCCTTCTGCCAGTTCTTGACTTTCTCGAAGTCGTCATTCAGCAGGCTGTTCTTCACCTCCTGGTGCAGCTCGCTCACCTTGTCTGCCTCCGTCATGATGGCACCCCATGCCTTCTCCAGGCTGCCGTACTGGGGACCTGGGGGGCAGAGGGGACAGCTGAGTGTCACTGCACAGCCCTTTCCACCCCTACCAGGTGAAGTTGTGATGGTGCACGGGGACCCGTGGGGCCCGGGTGTCCTGGGGCGAGCCTCCCCCTGGGGAAGCCATGGTACCTTTCTCGATCAGCTGCCTCCACCGCTTGGACCAGTCGGTGAGCTGCTGGGCATAGGACTTCTCGATCTTGGCCCGTTCGTGCACGCAGTTCATGAGGTCATTGCAGAGCCGGTGCCCGTCATCGATCCGCTTCACTGTGCGCTTGTAGTTCCCCACCTGGGAGGGGGACAGGGATGGGGACGGGGACAGGCAGGCGTGGAAGCCATGGCAGGGCTGCCTGGCTCAGCCCTGGGCAGCTCGGGAGGGGACAGCGGGAGCACCGCGCGCTTCGGGGGTGCAGGGATGGAGCTT